GTGGTGTTGACACGTAGACAGTCAAATGGGTCGCCAGCTGGCTGGAGGTCCGCACCCAGATAGTGGTGGTGGATGGGTCACTTTTGACCTGGAGGGATGTGGGCAGTGGGGTCCCCCAGGGCTTGGTCCTCAGGCCCGCGCTGTTCAACATCTTCATCAGTGACTTGGACAAGGGGGTAAAAAGCACCCTGTTCAAATTTGCTGATGACACTAAGATGTGGGGGGATGTGGGGACGCTAGAAGGGAGGAACAGGCTGCAATCGGACCTAGACAGGTTGCAGAGGTGGGCGGATGAGAATAGGATGAGATTCAACACTGACAAGTGCAAGGTGATGCACCTGGGGAGGAAGAACCAGCACCATAGATTTAGGCTAGATATCAGGAGGTGGTACTTCACTGTCAGGGTGGCTAGGATCTGGAACCAACTTCCTAGAGAAGTGGTGCTGGCTCCTACCCTGGGGGTCTTTAAGAGGAGACTAGATGAACCCCTTGCTGAGGTTGTTTGACCCCAGTACTCTTTCCTGCCATGGCAGAGGGTCGGACTCAATCTGCTCAGGTCCCTTCTGATCCTACTAACTATGACTCGGTAGCAGCAATTAACGTGCTACTTCTGATACAGCGGGTGATGCAAACAACACGTGTATCTTTGGGATCTTTGTAATCTCTGGGGTCTGTAAACAAGATGAAGGATCATTGGCTTTTCCTAGGTTTCAAACATTGTGTGGAGAAATATATTTTTGCTAATTACCAAAGGATAGCATAGGTAGTAAAAAGAAAACTATTTCCAAACTTCCAAAAATAAAAAATGAAAGCTAGGAAGACAAAGACTGAAGTCCATTGTTATCTCTCATAAACAGTAACATGCACTGCCCATAATGTAATTTTTCCCTTCTTTAGCAAGTTAACACTCTTCCTTTGTTTTTCTTTTTTTCATATACAATTCAGAAATTCTCCAGAATTTCAGAAACTGCTGGGAATTGCAATGGAACTCTTTCTTCTCTGCAGTGATGATGCAGAGTCTGATGTCAGGATGGTTGCTGATGAGTGTCTCAATAAAGTTATAAAAGTAAGAGCTATATAATCTATGTATTTTATCAGATTTGTCCTGTTTTGTATTGTGGTGTTCTGTCTGAAGCCATACTCTTAATAGTCATTTCACTATCCATTTCCTATAATTCCAGTTCACTGTAAGGCATGTATTTGAGAGAAGAATAGTGTTCTTTAGTATGATGATAGTATAAATACTGAGTCGCTTCATTTATACTGTTTCCAGTAGTGGATGTCTAGGCCAAGGAAAGAAGCATGGCTGTTATGGGGTAGAAGATGGAAGACCAACATGGCTGGCCGGCCAGAGTATTAGCAACATTTATTGTTAATCTGCACTGAGTCGGAATGGATAGGCTGGAGAAAGTGTTAAGTTTTCTTTTCCTGAATGCCCTTTCATCTCATTTTAAATAATTTTTATTCCCAACTGTTGCAGAGTATCAATTTATAAACCAAAATGGGGAAATACCCCCTTGCATTACAATCTGAAAGTCTTTTTCTATGATTTATGGGAAAATCTACGAAGAACAGTGACTTCTACCTACCTTCCTTACTTTCTCCCCATGGAGTTCTTTGGTGTTTGTCACTTTGTAGTTTCTATACAAAACTAACCTTATTTTCACTAACCTAGTGGTGGAAACTACTGGTGCTCCTAAAGGTGACCTGTAAACCTTTTTAAATATTTTTTTCCAGTGTTGACCTACATCATTTCAAGTCTTTCTAAGGGGGGGGGGTAGGGATGGAATTATCTTCTGCCTGTCATTACTTAGAGTTTGCCTTTTGGTTGCAACCGTTCCTTCATCAACTGCTGTGTATCAACAATACTATGGAGAAGTTAATTGCTCACTGTTATCTGTGATGCTCCTACATTGTGTTTCCTCTTACAACGCCTTATAATAGGAGGAAATAGCATGGTATCTTGAACCAAAACAATATGCAGTGTATAAATAGTGTGAATAGAGAAGTGAAGGCCGTTTTATATCTGTGAGCATGCAAATAATGATGCCTGTCACATTATTTCTAGTGTGGCAGTAGAGTAGAGAGGGTACTAATTTAAATTTGTATGCTAGTTTGCACTCAGCTTTCTTCTTTCGTAAGAATAATTGTTTTAACTTTTGGCTTCTGTTTTTAACCAAAATAGCTATACATATAGGTGCAAGTCCCAGTATGGATGCAGTTTCCTTTGTTTACAGGTGCCTTCTACCTAGTGTAGCTTATCTCCATTCAGGTTTTTTGCAAAGAATTTCATAGAAAAATGAATAAACTTGAGACAAACTTTGCAAGTCATCTTTAAATAGCTGTCCATTTATCTTTTTTGGAAAAAATTGGCTGTACGCTAGTTACATTATGTTTTGACATTGCACTCTTAATAAAATATTCAGGGGAGTCCAACCTAAAATCCCTGTGGCTTGCAGTCAGGAATCTTAAAGAGCTTAAAAGAGCTAACGTGAAGTGTCTAAGGAAATGGGGTCTGCAGAGAAGCAGACTGTAAGTGGGCTGCAACATAATAGGAAGTATCCAGACTCAAATCAGGCCTACTTGACTGCATCATGGAAATGCTATTTTGCGGTAAGATAAAATGGCCCAGATCTGATTTACCTTTAGACGGGTAAGTAGCACATATGTACATGTAAGTGGCACTTACAAGCCTTCCCTTGGGGAATTTTTAACCTTGGGTAAGTGAAAAAAGCAGAGGAAGAGGAAGGCCCCTCCCACCTTTTAGTTGAGTGGTTAGAGTACTTAACTAGGGAGAAGAGACCCCAGTTCTAGTTTCTTCTTCCCAAGAGCATAACTTCTGCCCCATTGAGGGCAGGGCAGAAGCTGGAACTCGGGGATCTATTTCACTGAGTTTGGAAAAAACATCCACAATTGAGGGGCAATATTTCATTAGCAATAAATATAAGTTTTGTTTTTAATTTGCATAGTATAATTTGGGGAAAGCTGGCAGAGACTTCACAAGGTCTTCTAGTTCAATCACTGTGTTCAAGGCAGGAGAGAGACGTTTAGACATTCTTACGACTCTTTCTAGTGGGTTTGTAAGTTAAACATAGTTTAAAAAAATGCTTTTATGAGTAAAGCAGAGTTGGAATTGGAACTCTGTAATGTGTAATTATTAATGGCACTCTCTCCAAGAATTGTATTTCAGTTTCTTTTTATACCTTTAAAATCTTCCCTCTTTAGGTAAGTAACTTCAGGCTTAAATTTGTAAACTGCTGAACATTTTTGGTTCCAGTCTAGGATGAGGTCATTCAACACTGTAGGGTATGGATGCTGTCTTTTTCCTTCTGTTGCTTGTTACATTTAAATGTTCTTGACATTGTACACACAGGCTTCGTAGAAAATGGTGTATTTCCTGACAAAGTAACTGAAAGACTTAGCTTTCTTTGTCTCTTTTCCCTCCCTTTCAATGTACAGAACTTTTTTTTTTTCTCTTTTCATTTGAATACACTTGTCTCTTCTTTCTTTGTCTGTAGCGAAAAAGCATTGTTAAAGAAGAATGTCATATACCACCAAATACACTGTTCCTCTTCCTAATATTGCAGATAGGTGCCTGGTCAAATCTATATGGTAGTTTTAACAGCTGTTTCATTACATATAATGTTGTTGACTAGTACATTCTACTTTGGTATAACATACTCTCTATGCATTTTTATTACAGGCTTTGATGGATTCCAGTCTTCCGAGGTTACAGTTGGAACTCTACAAAGAGATTAAAAAGGTGAGCTTAGTTCTTTTTTTCTTTTTTGTTGTAAATATTTGGCATTGACTAATGGAATGGTGGTTAGACACATCAATTTTAATTGTTTTATTCTGTTTTGCATGAAATGCTGGAGAAATATAACTCATTGGAGTATTGTCTAGGGCTAGGCAAAACAAACATTTACTTTGGGACATGAGTAGTTCTCTTCTGCTAAAGTGTCAAAGGTTCTGTATAATCCTATGCAAGTCTGTCATTGTTATTTTCCATGTTATAATGTTAGGTGTTCTTTAATCTTTAGTAGTCTCTGTATGCAAATATTTGCATTTGAAAAGAAATATCACTTACAGGAGTGGGAAAGAATCAAAGACTTCTAAACAGTTGGTTCTCACACTAGCCACTCCACTCTTTCAATATTTTATACTGTAAATGATTTAATAGTCTAGTTGAAATGAATGAACCTTATTGTGACACACACAAACCCCAAACAAATAGTGATGCTCATCTGCTCCTTTTTTTTGGCTTCAATCCTTTACCAGTGTGTTAATTTTTACTTAAAAATAAATCTACTCCTTTTATCCTGAGTTTTGAGTAGTCTTGTCTAGTGGGCTTCTCTGCCTGGGCTTCAGAAATAGTGCTCTCCTTATTTCTTTTGCATGGATAGGCATACTAATTTGTCCCATGAAATGCATGAGAGGAAATAAGTAGCAAGAACTCTGCTCTGCTGTTGTCTGTGGATGCACGCTTTCTTATTTTGGAGCTGATATCATTGATGCAGATATGAGTCATTCACTTGTCTGTCTCCTTTGTTCACTGGTGGCCATGTGCAAGAGACATCTGGTTAAACTCCAGAAGAAGACTAGGAAAATTCAGTTTTGGATTTTTTTGTTCCATCTTAAAGCAGGAAAGGGTTTAGCCTGTATTTTGAATTTTGCTTTCGGTCCAGAGGCTGTAGTAGGACTTTGTAATGCTAGTTGTTTGGGAACTGCATTGCTCTCTTTAGTAAAATTCATGTGAAATCACAGCTGTGCTGTCCAGTTATGCAGGGTGTTTTTGCTTGCTGAAAAGTAACAAATTGACCACTCTCTCTAGAATGGTGCTTCCCGAAGTCTACGAGCTGCACTCTGGCGATTTGCTGAGCTTGCTCATCTGGTTAGGCCTCAGAAGTGCAGGTAAACTTGTTCTATCTAACATGTTTTGGGACATGATTGTGGTATGTGGGAACAGTAATAACCATTTACCATGTCCGACCATCATACTGAAAAAATAAATGCAGTTTCATTTGTGGGAAGAGCACTTAATTCTTGTCTAACTTTAGGTGTCGTGGTTTTTTTTTTTTTAAAAACTCCTGCCTCAGTTTAATGGGTTTCGGTTGATTTTAAGGCTGTATATAGGTGTTCATTTCTACTGTAAGGAACTTCTGGCAGAAATATAGCCTGGGAGCCAAACTGTACAGACATTACTCAAGCCCAAGGGTGGGCAATTAGTTTGGCTGGAGGGCTGCTTTAATGAGTTTTGATGAGCTGTCAAGGGTAGCCCCGCCCCTTAACAGGTGCTCTGCCCCCTGGTTGCCAGCTTGGGACCAGAAGTCCTGCCCCCTAACCCCTGACCTTGGCCACTGGAAGTCCCTCCCTTTGCCCCTGGAAGTACTCCTGGGTGGGGGGAGGAGATTGCCATCTTGGAACCAAAAAAACCCAAACAAATTATGCTAAAAGTCAAACACCTACCATAACACATTTTAATTTTATTACAAAAATATTTGTCATGGTTTATTTTCATACTGTATATAGAGGTGACTGCATAATAACTCCAAAATACACAAGAGTAAGAGCTTTTTATTTTGTAAGGAGGGTGTGGCTGGGTGTGTGGGTATGGGGAGGTTGTGGGGGTGTGTCTGTGTGTATGGGGGTAATAAGGTATATTGGGGGGCTGTGTATGTGTGGGGGGTCATGGTGAGTGAAGGAGGGTGGAGTGATGTGAGGTCCCCCCACACAGCCCTCACTGGTGATAGCAGCAGCACGCAGTGAGTGCTTGAGGTGCTCTTGGCTTGCATAGGTGCTGCCACCCAGCAGTGTTCAGCTCCTGCCAGTGCTGCACATGGTGGCAAGGGGCACAGGCAGGCTGGCCCACCTCTGTTGTGCGGGGCTCCCTGCAGCACACATGTAACTTCTGGCACTTGTGGTGCTTCCCTGGGTGATGTGTGTCGGCTGCCTTCCCTGCCACCTGTCGTGCAGGTCCTGGGACTCTGCTGGGAAGCAGCCAGAGGAGTCCCAGGACCTGCACAGCAGGGAGTAGCAAAGGCAACCAGCTCTATTGCATGGGGTTTCCCCCCAGTGGTGCGTGAGTGCCAGGAGCTGCACATGTGCTGTGCGGAGCCCCACGTGATAAAAGGCAGGCCGGCCTGGCTGTGTTCCTTGCTACCATTGCAGCGCTGGTCGGAGCTGCAGGCTGCCAGGCAGTAGCACCTGTGTGCATTTTTCGCAGCTCCCCACCCTCCCTCACACTTGCACCTTGTCCACCTGAGCTATGCGCTCCCACCACCCCCAAGTGCAGGCTGTGTGCTGCCATTAGCCTCAGCCCCATGCTTTGTGCTCTTGCCTAGCTGCAGCTCCCCCTCACTCCTCCACTTTCCTATCTGCTGCCCAGAGTGAAGGGGATGTCGGGGAAGCTGAGCCAGTCCCATTGTGGCTGCAGTAGTGCCAGCAGCAGCCCCACCCAGAAGCTGCGTACTGGCTGAGCCAGGCCCTTCTGCCCACACAGGTGGGAGCGAAGCACTCAGGCTGGGTGGGGTACAGCTATATGGTGGGCACCCATGGGCCAGATGAAATTGCCTGCAGGTCATATCTTGCCCTCCCCTGCTCTAGCCCTAAGGGTGGAGAGCTTCACAGGCAAGCTTTCCAGCCAGGGGCAGTAGAGGGCTGATCCTTGGGCCCTCCCTACCGTTAAGGTAGCCTTAGGGATAACCAGCCTCTCTGGCTTCCCCTTGTTCCCCTGCTATTCAGCTGAGCTGCAGGGTGGTGACTGGTGGGTGCTTGCAAATTCCCCTACCTTTTCTTGAAACCAAGGGCTGCTTGTTCTAGGGAAGAATCAGGGAGTGGTGGCTGCTGCTGCTTCTCTCACCATCTAGTCTATGGGAAGAGGGAACACCCGCCCCGTCCACCATTTCAAGACCAAGTGACCCCATTCTTGGTAGAGCAAGGAGCCTTTTCCTGGTTCTACTCTTCCTGGCCTGCAGGAATTTATCTAGGAGAAAGTGTATGGACATTGTCTCCTGGGAGCAGTTTTAACCCTGGTTGTTTCAGGGTTTATTTTTGTCCCATAGTGGTCACTTCTGCGTAGAGAAAAAGCCTGAATGTCTGTATGCTTTTGGTTTCTGCTGGTAGAATGGGAATTCTCCTAATAGAAACTGAATGTCTGTTCCTAGCCTACGTCTTCTATGCTGTGGACAAATCTACTTTATAACTGCTTTAAAAGAAGAGGGAGACCCGCTTCTTTTGCGGGGGGGCATGATAGCCGATATTCTGTGACTGTTAACACTTGCATGCTCCTTTGTGTGATGCAAGCTATAGTTTCAACTCCAAATTAAACAGAGTTGAAGCTTCATTTGTACTAGTTATTTTGCTACGCTTGTATTGGTTTGGGAGCATGCCGATAACAGTTACATTACAGTGGCTTATATTGGTATCCTTTGCTATTGATCCAGTTGTCATACTTAGCTGTAACCTTAGTAGACTCCTTGGGAATCATAGTCCGAGAGGTAACTGGCTGTGTTAATCTGAAGTTAGTTTATAAGATGCACGTCTGCCCTGCTTTATGCCTAGGAATCCTGCCATTTTTGGATAACTACGAGGGTCAGTCAGAAAGTAATGGCTTTAATTTTTTTTTCAATAATACTTGACTTGGAAAAGAAAAAAGAACTTTTACAGAGAATTTGCATGTCATCCCTGAACAGGCAGCTGTTGTTTGAGTGTTGTTGTACAGAAGCAGCGCCAGAGACATGTTTGTTGGGGTGGGCTCTTTCCATACAATGTTTCAGTTTCTCCAGGGTCTTGATATAGATTTGCTGTGGCTCCCTTCTAGGTAGGAAGGCAATAAGAATGCCCTTTATGGCCATGGCTTGGCTTCCTTAGGAGCTAAAAATTAGGTGGTAGTGAGGCTGAGGTCCTGCTTCTACGTGATGGTGCTTGCACACCACAGAGGCTGTCTTATTTGCTAATAGACTCTGCTGCCTCATCCTCTGGACAACCTGGAGGATGAAGGACAAACTACAAGGGTGACGTTTTGGGGATGACCCTTTAAGTGACTTAAAGTTATACCAGCGCAGGTTACTCTCTGATCCATGTTACGGGGCTTGTGTTCCATTTAATGTGTGGCCATTTTCCACAGATTTGCTGCTCAAATTGTAGTCCTCTCAACATCGCAGGATGCAGTGTCCCCTCCACCACCTTCCTGTTCTGTGGACAGACTTTCCACTCCCTGAACTCAACTACCTGGGAATGGGACATGGTCCTGACAGCAAGCCTACTCTGTGTCTTGCCTCTGGGGTGTGACCCTCCCACCTCCAGCCAGGGGTTCAACCCTATGCAAACAGCCAGCAGAACAGATGTCACAGGGCATGGAAGGTCTGGGAGTGGGGGTTGTATGGGGCGGAGAACAAGGTAGGGGACTGGATAGGGTCTCTGTGAGCTGGGGCTTCCTATCTAGGGCAGGGGCAGTAGCTCTCTCAAAAGCATTTTCACTCACCACTCCCAGCTCCCAACCACCCTGGGAAGCATGACCAGCACCCCCCCTCACCATAATCCCAATCCCAGTTAATTAAAGGTGGCCTCATGTTTTAATATAATTCCTATATTTCTTTTTTTCTTTTGTTATATTATTTTTCAGTGTTTGGCTGATTTTTTTTTTTTTTT